CTTCAAATAAGAAAAAAAAAATAGTAAAAATGGATTTTGATTGCCTGCCTGACGCAGGGTGACTTTGAATCCATTCTTCCATACTTTTTCCTCAATGTTTTCAAAGTTAAATGACAAAAATAGTGTAAAAGAGTGCAATTTAATTGACACTATAGCACAATCAGATCATCATGCTTTTCATTTATCATTTAAATGCACTAATGTTTAACCACATACTATTGTTGTATAGATGTATGTCTCACCTATTCTGCATGTATTTCTGCGTGTATTTGTGTTCATGTGATGTAGAGATCAAAACAACTGCTTCTGTGTTGGAAGAAAAGCCAAATCTCCCAGCCTGTACTGTAGCGCCAGAGTCTGTTTTATCAGCCATTTTATTAGGTCATTCTGAGAGTCTGATAACCTGCACAATGCCATCAAATTGACATATCCGAGCCGCGTAATCGCATTTATTGTGTATAACTGGCATCGATATGATTTGTTGGCGTAAGCGGCATGTAGGTAATGTGATTGAGGAGCAGCCCGAGGACGACATCGAGCGACAGGTCACCGCGTGCGTGCAGTATTTCACTGACATGATTACAGTCTTCAGACTAACCTTGAGCATGCTGGCTGTACGTGGGCTGGAAATGAGAAATGATTGGGTTATGCTGTGGTGCCTTTGATCCATCTGTCACTTTTGACCCTCAATGTCAGTCTCCTCTCTCTCATCTGCCCACTGCACACAGCTGGATCTGCTCTGCTCTCGCCATCTGCCTCTTTATAAGACACGTACTGGTCAGCTGGGTGTTTTGGTGTATATACTGTATATTTAGAAGGATGTTTTGGAATCAGAAGAAATGAATAAGTCAGATTTGACTGCTCATTGATTTAGTTACTGGATAACACATGTATTTTGGTGGTGGCATTGTTGAAGATGTGTTTATTATACATATATACACACACACATATACATAAAAATGCATGTCAAAAGCCAACCGTAACTGTATACATACACTTTATAGTTGAGCATAACTTTAAACACAACTGACAATTTAAAAAGAATTACAACTGTGATGCATCTAAATTTTATGAAAAACCCTTAAAAATAATATGGGCTCTTTTTTCAATAATGCATAAAAAATAACAGAACAGTTAAATTTTAAACTAAGAACTTAATTGTTTTAACAACTAAACATCATGTACGGCTAGTATTTTATTGTTTCTTACACCCGATTCACACAGGGCTTCAGCATCAAAGCTTGATAGACGGAGTGTCTGAAGTTAGGGCTGATGCGATCGTCATGGCAGCGTCAGCCAATAAAATTAGTCCGCAATCAACTACTATATGAGCTGGGGTAATTGCATGAAAGTGATCTGATTGGCTGACGCTTCAGTTGGTACTAGAAAAGTTGAGAAATTCCCAACTTCTGCAGCGAACAACACTGCTGAAGCAGCGCTGACGGATCCACAATTCAGTTTGGCAACGATTTACGTCACCCATTCAAGTGAATGGGAAGTGCTGATGCTGACACCCCTATGTGAATGGGGCGTTATACTGTGGCAAGTCTGTATGTAAATGGTCCAGGCTCTCTTATTACATTTTAAATAGCTGACAAAGTTTCTTTTAGCCTCATAATTTGATGTTGCCACCATATTGCCATCTTTTGTTGTAGTGGTTGTTACCAGGTTGCCAAAAAAAATGTGCTTACAACATCCAATCAGATAAGAGGAACCAAAAAGCAACATGGTGTTTACGACATCACAGAGAAGGTCGCATTTAAAGGCTTAAAAGCATGATCCTGTCTCTCACAATGGCCATCAGGCTTTCCTTATTGTTGAGCCCTTATATATATATATATATATATATATATATATATATATATATATATATATATATATATATATATATATATATATATATATATACATGATATTGTAAAAATCTGACATCGTTTTGTTTTTCTGCGATATATATATATATATATATATATATATATATATATATATATATATATATATATATTGCGATATGAATATGTTTTACCAGATGGCTTAAATTGCTCTATTTTGGAAGAAATCATTCATTTAGATTGATAGGGCTGATTTTGTAATAGGTGAGAATCATGTATAAAAAATTATAAACATATTGAAAGCAAAAATAATTACAGTAGAGCAACAAAAGTCAAATAAAACGGTTTTCTGGAGAGTCAAATAACATTTATGAGCAGAAAATAAATAAATAAATAAATGATAAATGTCAAATCTAAATAAATTAATACTGTAATCTTTATTTTATTCATTCTGTGAATTTAATAACTCCACTAATCTATATTCTCAATTGTTGTGCTGATAGAATATGATCCCAACTCAACATTGCATATCCTGCAGTGTGACTATTGCAGACAAACACATTGCAATATCGATGTTTTTTAGTTAGTTATGCCTATTGTGGTTGTTGTAGGACTACTTTAAAAATAACCATTTCGAAATAGCAAAGGTGTCTCTGTTACAGTGTCCTTTTTTAACTAATTCAATTAAATCTATACTGTGCAGTATAAGAAAATAAATAAAAAGTTTTACATTTTGAAAGATGTTTTTAGCAGTGAAAAAAATTTATTTGGAGTCACAGAACATGTGCATTAAAACTGAAATATCCCTACTCCCAGAGTGCAACATGAAATTTCGTTTTGATGAACAAAAAGCCATCACTATGTGCCATTGAAATAATTTATTTAAAAGACTAAACAGCTCTTCAGGGATTGGTTGTTACACTTTAGCTTGTCGTGGTGAAATTAGCAATATGTGATGGCATTACACTCTTCATGGCTTCAGTTCATCTGCCAGGATGGAGGAAAAGCAAACTCACGACATGTTCTGTGTGGGACTCCATCACGGCTATAAATATTCAATGTGGGTGCTCGCATTGTGCCAGTACAGCTGTATAACTATTCCTTTTTTTTTGGTTAGTATCTAATGCTTACTACTAACCATCATAGGCAGTCACGATCTCTTACTTTGACCAGCCGGCTGAGGGGACGGCCTCCACCCGGGTGATCTGATTAATCATATCGGCACAGGTCCTGATAAAGATCCTGGTGGCCAACCAAGGAGATGTGGCATCTTGTCCAGATGGAGCGGTGGCTGTTTTTGTGTTTGTCAGTATGAAGTCTTGGCTGGAGCGGTGTCTGACTCAAGGCAGATGGGAGGCGCAGCGGCTCCGTTGATGGATACTGAGCTCCAGTGGCAAGATCCATCCATTATTGAACTGCTCTGTCAGCTTATGTAGAGAAGCAAGACACACACAAACACTTGATCGTGCACTAGAGTTTTTAAGGGAACCGTTTAGCAACAAATGAAAACCTGGTCTTCTTTTGGTTGCTTTAAAATTGCATGACTGAAATTTTCTATAAAACTTGCACTGATCTCTCTTTTTGTTAACAAAGATTTTCAGGTAGAAGTAGAAAGGTAAAACTCATTTTTAGGTTTTCTTAACCCTTTAACTGCCTCCTCTAACAAATTATGGATCATATTTTGACTGTTTTAATTAATGACTGTTCAAGTCATCTAAAGAATGAATATTACACTACACAGATTTTGGTTATATTATTAAAAAAAAGTCAAGCATGATGAGAATCACAAATATTTTCTGACATCCCAAAAAAAAGGTGATTTGGTATTCAAAATTTTTTTATTTATTTATTTTTTTTTTAATAAATTGGTTTTATCCCTCATATTTTAAGAATTTTCATCGTATATGTATAAATTCCAGTTCTTTTACCACAAACTGACATATCTACCATTTGTTAGAGGTTAATATTTTAGAAATGATGGGATGTGTTGAGAAAAAATGCATTGAGTGTGTTAACTAGTGACATTAGGAGATAAGAAATACAATTTAAAAATAAATCTTGGTGGGGCAGTTAAAGGCTTTCTTTTTTGTGGGACATATTTATGTCTAGAAGTAAAACCACTGATAGTAAAAAGCTAAATCAGCAAAGAATCTGGTTTGGAATAAAATGATGAACCATTTGTTTATGGCTCCTGATCTGTTCAGGAATTGTGGTTGAGTTTCAAGTCAACTTATCTGGTCATAGATTTGATGTAAAGGGACACTTGTGGAAAGTAGAAGTCTGATCAGTTGATCTGTTTTACAAATTCATGTATTGGTATTGGTCCAATGAACCATAGTTTTCACAGTGTCATTTGAGTGAGAATTAGTTTCAATCATGTGTTCATCAATCAGTCCCTCCAAGATTTTGCAGGGACATTCTCTAAATATATCTGTGGCCTAAAGTGACTGATTTTGTGACTGCTTTTCTCAAACCGTATGGTGTTATTTTCTTCATTTTTTGTGTGAATTTTGCTTTAAAAATACGCACAAACCTTTTTTTTTTCCTTTTTTTTGGTCCAATTGACTCTTAAAATTCTGGAGGAACTGATAAATTTGGCGATTAAATATTATATTGAGCTGAATCTTTTCAGTAAACCATCTTATCCGGTTCATTAAATCGCTTGTATCAAGTACAAGTAACCATTAAGAATCAAGTCAAATTTCTGAATGAATTGTTGATTTAATTTGTTGAATTTTTCTAGTGAGTCCACAGATCTGCTTCACAGCATCCATGTGAATCATTTATTCATAAATTGGTCCAGTTTACAAATGAATCACTCTTCTATGTTAAATCTTTTCAATGAAAAAAAAAAACTGGCTCACAAAATCATGGATTGGAATTTGTTCATGAAATTGGGCCATTTCATTAATGAATCGTTCTTTTGAGTCTAAACTGTTATGATACTGTAGATATGATAGATTCTGATCTTTTATGATGCATTTGATTCATTCCTGAAGCTTGGACCAATATGAGAGCAAGTAGATTATTACATAGGCTTTTCATTATTTGGATCTCTTCAAAGTCTTGCACTCAAATAACACTTCATGTGCTCTTCAAGTCTACGTGTATTTAAATCATCCCATGAAAACAATTCTAACATGCACTTCTCTTTGTGTCTATCTTCAGCGGAGCCTCTCCCTCTGATGGACCTGTGTCGACGTGCGGCGCGACTGGCTCTGGGACGAGAGCGTCTACAGGAGATCGAGACATTACCTTTGCCCCAGTCTCTCAAGAATTACCTCCAGTACCAGTGAGAGCGCAGACTCTCATGTAGAGACGCAGAGACAAAGAGAGGAAACCTGAGGTGCTACTATAGCGCCACCGTCAGGCCGCAGAGGGAAAATGTTTACATTGTGGCTCACTGGTGGAATCTTAAGTTCGTTTTTTCCTTAGTTTGTTTTTTGTTTTCCTCTTTATGAGTTGTTTAAATTATTGATGGCTTTGAAAGAAGCTGGAAAGATGCAGAGCAAAAGCGGCGGCTGCTCAGCAGACCTGCAGCGCCTCCCGGTGTATGTCTCGCCCCTGGAGAATACGACAGGATAGTGGCATTTCAGAAAGCACATTAACCTTGGGATGCCTTTGAAAGCCCACAGTAGTAATCTTTTCGAAAGACCGTGGCGGTCTCTAGAGTTAAAAACCATCACATGGGATCCTCAGCGAATGAAACAAAGCCCTTGAGGGTGCTAGGATTTTCACACAGGACCACCTAGAGAAGGTAACATGACTGACAGGAGCCATTTTCCCCTTTTATCTGGGATGGAGTCTATAACCAAGGACACACACATACGCACGCACGCATACGACCAACAATAAATCACCGAATTCACTTCTTTTTTTTTTTCTTTGTGAGCTTGAGTCACTTTTCTATCTGAGTTTATTGTCAGCGTGAGATTGATTGATGATGATGACAATGTTTGGCTATCTTTTTAATTTTATTTATCAGGTTCTAGATCCTTTTTAATGAACTGAGGATGTGCAAACGAGCACATAGATATTGAACACTATCCTACACTCGTCACATATGGCTTTCGATTTTAAACTGGGATGCTGCTTTTATTATTATTATTAATAATATTATTATTATGATTATTATTCTGTCTGAATGCTCAGATGGAAGTCTGGTTTTTCCAAGGCACACAGTGGAATGTAAAGATCTTGCTAGCGTTAGCATATTTGAAATGTGAATAAAAGCCAAGTGAATGAGAAAGCAAGAATGACAGTTTTTTTTTTCCTCTCTCTCTGAGGCAGAATATGTGTGTTTTGACATTGAATGAAAATATGTGCATTCTTAAGCACAGAAGGGTCTATTTACATAACACCGCTGCTTTTTCTCGGCTAACGTTCCACTGAGAGATCCCTCATTTCCCACTTTTCGTTCTCTCTCCTGTCTGACTCCCACTCTAATACAGTCTGAGGCTGAAAAGTATTATCTAACCTAAATCTGCAAAGAATTGGATCACTCTGCTCACGCTTGGGTTCGTGGGTGGTGTTTTAACCACTAACCGCAGGTGCTTTCTTCAGAAATCCAGATCTCTTGTTGTTAATCTCTCGTCACAAGTATTTAATTAAATTGACTGATATGCTGAATTCTTATACAGTACTTTGCATTTAACAGTAATTGGGTTTTTATTATTATTATTTAATTTTTATTATGTAGGACTAGGGTTGGGTATCGTTTAGGGTTTTTTTTTTTTTTTTGGTACCGATGCTAGATCAATACTTTTAAAACGGTGCCAAAATAGTGTCTGAACCAATACTTTTCAGTTCGTCATGGGGCATGAATGAAATGTTCCTGAACGAAAGTGAAACTGCCGAGCTGCAGTTAAAGTTGACAAATTAAAGATGAAACCCCTAAAATTACATGAATCTCCATAGGAAACTTTGTATATCGTGGTGACACAATGACGTTAATCGATCTATGTACTATAACATGCAAAACAATATCATGAAGGGAATATTCAAAAACTCCTTAATCTAAAAACACTTCAATCACATTATTGTCTTATTCAGATTAAGGCAAATAATTTGATTACTCATGTCCATGTAAACATGGTCACTGACAGCGCCAGGTGATGTTGCAGGCTGTCAAAGACAGTGCATTCCTCTGCCTTTAGGTTGATTCCATGTGTCCTCAAATGTTTCTAAAATTTGACCCTTCTCACCGCCTTCCCTTATACACAACTTTTGTAAAAGCATCTGCTGCATATTGCTGTGTCATAATCATTGCTTGTAAAATATTGCCATACTTTAGAACGCTTAGTTTAAGCAAATTTGATAAATGGGTTCATGCATGTTGACGAATCTGTCAATAAGTCGATCACTGGATCATTTACTGCACACGTTGTGTATACATTGCCTTTATGCACGCGTTCTATACATTAAGAAACAAACAAATGCCTAAAGCCTGGTTTATACTCAACGCATTCGCTAGATTTTTTATTTTTTATTTTATTTATTTAAGAACGACACACAAAACAATGCCAGAGGTATGCAAAAAGAATAATAAAATCTTAATAAAATTATATAGAAGTACAAAAACTCAATAAGTAAAAAAAAATAAAATAACAAAGTAAACAAAAAAAATATTACAAAACAAAACTAGGCCTTGCTAACTCTCAATAACTTAAAAGTGTCAAACAAATACACGGTTTTAACAGTTTTTTTGTTTGTACTCTCCTTAATGGTATTTATATAAATATCTAGATCTTTAACTACCACCAAAAACGAATGTGACGTCATCGTGTTGTTTGCGGAGGTTCACTTTGGGTGCGCTCAACATGATTTTGGCTGGCGGAGCGCACAATTGTTTTGAGACTCGAGCGAACAGTTTGCTCGGTGCTACATTTCATTTGAGTTAAATATGAATCACTTTAAAGAGATTTTGTCTGAAATGGGTACGACTGTGCAGACATTTTTATGATCCATTCATGCGTGATCATAGAGACAACCAGTTGGACAACATATATTTGTAGAGCAACCCATGTACTCTTGTCATTAACATTTATTATACTTTAATAGGTAAAACTGTCAGAGATATGAACAAAAGCAAGTGATGCATCAACCTTTGATTTAAAACAATTCTTGAATGGTTATAAAAATCCTTATACTCATCAAAATAATTTATAAAATAATAAAAATAATTATTAAAAAAACCTCAATAATATTAATGATATGACGTATTTCTGGAAACTTCCTATTTCTCTTGTTTATTCGCTGATTTTATGCTGTTTTTTTTACTGCCCCTATCATTTTAAAGAATATGTCCATGGTGAAAGCATCAAGTATAAAAGCCTCTTCTACTTCATGAGGTGCGTGCACAGTCAGCGGAAGTCTGCCACGTGGTGCCAGACAAACATATTTACCTTATTCTTTAATGCGAAAGTGCACTCGTTTTTGCGATTGCTTTAGAGCACAGGTGTCAAACTCAGTTCCAAAAGGGCCGCAGCTCTGCACAGTTTAGTTCCAACCCTAATTAAACACACCTGATCAAACTAATTGAGTCCTTCAGGCTTGTTTGAAACCTACAGGTAAGTGTGTTGGAGCAGGGTTGGAACTAAATGTGCAGGGCTTCGGCCCTCCAGGAATTGAGAAAGAATAAAGGTGTATAAAGAATAAGAATAAGGTGAATAAAATCCGCCTTAACATTGAGGATGGTGTCCATACCTCTAGTTGTTTCAAATTAAATATTTATGGTGTGACAACACATACTTTTGTATGCATTTGATGTACTCCTTGCTGCTTCTTACGCTTTTGTCGCAGCACCAGTGGCACCCAAAATTAGGAACCAAAAATCCATATGCAGATTCAGTCTGGTGCATACCGGTTGCATAGCACAGGGTTTCAGTTCCCAACCCTATGTAGGACAGGTAAAATTATATGCTAGCAAAAAGTGGCTATAGAGTTAAGTTTTCGATCTGGTCTAATATAATATTGTCATTTTAAATTAGTATTAGTATGACGCAAATTTTAAAATATATGTACAACTAGTGCACACAATTATTCAAACGAATGTCACTGGCATTTTTAAGAAAGTAATCTTTTTGTAATACTATATATTATATATTATTAAAATTGACAGTAACAGTTTTCATAATGTATATAATATTTCTATTAAAAATGTTAGAAAAAAAAAGAAGCAAAATATTTATCAGGATTTTCACAAAAATAAACTGTTTTTAAGCATTGATAATATGGAATGAGCACCAATTCGGTATAGGAGCATTCACAGCAACAAACATGTGACACTACAGACCGGTGTAATGGATGCTAAAGCTATATATATATTAAATGTTTAGTCCTACAAAATACCTCCATAATCCAGCTCAGATCAAATCATATATATGCATATGTTGCAGTAAAAGCTCTATACTGATCCTCCATTTAGGTCAGCGAATGATAAATGGTGTGTTTTTTTTTTTTTTTAAGATAATGGAGAATGCTTTTACTGATTTTTGCTTTTAATAATGTGATAGGCCAGTTTAGAGTAATCTCATCCTGTTTTACTGCATCTAGACATGTTAGAACTCTCGTATTGGAAATCAATGTCAGATGGTGAGATACTGTCCTTCTGCGACGGCATGAAAATTGACTTTTTTTGGCTTCTCTCTTTCACATTTGGAATCAGCTCTTTGTAATTGAATAACACTGATCTGAGAGCGCAGGTACAGAGATGGAGCCCTGATCAAAGCTGCGGTTTAAGCCAGGACATTGATCCTCCCAATCCTCTGTTTCCTCCCAGTCCTGTCTTAAATCACTAACAAACATCTTTAACCAAAGGAGGAACAGCCTGTTCTGTGTGTTTCCAGCCTTGAGGGAATGGCCGAAGTTGTCTACGTTTGTGTGCAAATCCTTTCGAAGCTTGGGAATCACTGCTTGTTTATGTATTATGTCCTTCATCGTTAGCAGGCGATTGTTGAGCTCTTGGAAATGAGTATTGTACTGACTTCCTCCCAGTGTGATTCTCCATATGCTGTGTAGACATGAGCCACTGGCTATTTCCTTAACTTACCAGGGTGTAAATAGGAGGCCGAGAGCTGATCCACCACTGGGAGACCTTGAGAGATGTGTGTTAACCAAAAAAAGTGAGACTTCCTTTATGTGCTTCCTTCCCTGTGGGTCTGTGGCTGTTGTGTATGTGTGTGTGCGCGAGAGAATGAGGGTATAAATAGGGAGCCGGTGGCAGTGATGGTCTGGGGAAAAGATCTTCGTGTCCTAAATGACCTCAGCTTCCACACGCAGGTGCATCCTGGCCTGAGCTGGTCACAACATCACTGATGGTAGAAGAAAACAGTGCTGGCAAATGTACTTTGCTGAGAAAACACTGGAGACAGCACCTTTTGTTGTGGTGTTCTCGTTGCAGATTTCCTATTCATGTGCCATGGCTATTAAAAGAGGAAATCCAGGGGTACAGATTGTTTCTTTGAGATGCAGCCCTGGTGGAATAATTAAATGCAGTCCTTTATAATCGGCAAGAAACGTGAAGGTTTTTCATTCAAGGGTTTGTTCAGCCAAAAATGAAAATGATGTATTTTATTACCCTCATGTTGTTTCAATTTCTTGAAGCCTTTGTTCATCTTTAGGATACAAATTAAGATATTTCAGGTGAAATCTGATTCCCTTGTCCTCCATAGGTCAGTTTCTGACAAGGTCAAAGTCCACAAACAGGGCCAGACCTATGGAACAAAATCAATGCCAAAAGTCTTGAATTAAAATGCAAGAACTTGTTAATACGGTGTATTATTTTTTCAGTTTGTGATATTCAACAAGCTTTTTAATTCAAGACTTTAGACATTGATTTTGTTCCACACAGACCAACGTAAGTGCTAGATGAGGCTCAAGCCTCAGGGCCCATGGAAGAAGGCGGCCCTTGATTGGCTGAAGAACTAATTTGCTATGACGCGGGAAACGTCTCTTTGCTTTCTCTCGTTGATAATGTGAAGTATTCCTTTCGATTCGCTGCTGTTCAAAAACAGTGACGCCTGTGCTAAACTGGGGCTCAGAGGGGCTGTAGCCCAATCAGAATATTGAATAGCCCTGTTTTAGTCATCAGACGTCCCAATTTTCCCAGAACAGTCCTTTATTTTGGCACTACCATGAAAACCAAGCTCGTAGGGGAACAAAAAATAAAATTCAAACAGTCTTCATCACTGATACACTTGTACATGTAATAACAGAAGCTGGGATAGGCGGAATCATACTGAAAGGACTGC